ATTCAACTGCAAAAAAGAGTATTTATATCTTGATTTTGTTTTAGATTAAAGCATGAAGAGCAATCCTTTGAACGTAGTCAATTTATTATTAGCATATTTTCAAAGTTTACAAATACCAGATAGCGAGATTAATTTCAAAGAAATTAAATTGTCAGAAAAGTTGAAAGAAATATTAATAGATGCCGTGTATGAGTTTAATGATATTGATATGATTGTTGAAGAGACGTTAGATTTTCATGAAGATTATAAAGATACTGATGCTAAAATAATCGAAGATGAAGTTCAACATCACTTTCCTGATCCTGATTTTGCAATGTTGCTATAATATGGTGTGGTTGGTGTAAAAGATCATTATGTTTCAAACACTTTTTCGATGATTATCTTTTCTGGAAGGAATTCGTTGAATGATACATTTTAATTTACCAATAAATGAAAAAAAGAAAAAGATGAAAATTATTATGAAAAATCAAAATATATGTAGTATCGCGTACGATGGCTCTTACGTAAATATATTTATGTATCTACATATGAATATAAATATATATATATAGATCTATAAATGATAATAAGACCTCATGTTTATTTTTAAGAGATATTTCTCGCCCTTTTGGTACTATTAAAATAAAATGTATTAAACATATTTTTATTTGTTATAAATTATGTTTGAGCTACAGATGCGTATATTTTATAAAAAAAAATGGGATACCCCACGTACGGTGTACAAATCAGTTATTTTAAAAAAAAGCAACTGATAAACTCAATTCTCCCAAAGTTAGGTCTATTAGCCTACATTTGGTTGGGTGAGGGTGGTTTATGGGGGTTTGGTGGGTTAGAGGCAGGTTGGTTAGTTGAGGTAGATCGCTCAGGCGTAGGATTAAATTATTTCAGGAACTAACAAACGACTTAACTCGTGTTTCTCAGGTTTAGGAGGTTTAGCCTGCGTGTGTTTCAATAAGGGTGGTTTATAAGGGTGGGGGTTAGATAGGTTAGGGGTAGGTGGATAAGAGGTATGTTATACAGCTGGGATAACTCGCTTATGGTATAAAATTCAATTATTTCAAGAAATAACAAACGACTAAAGTTGCTTTTCACAGGATTAGGTGGGTTAGCCTGCATGTGGTTCGGTAAGGATGGTTTATGAGGGTTTGGTGGGTTAGAGTCAGGTTGGTTAGTTGAGGTAGCTCGCTCTTGCATAGGATTAAATTATTTCAAGAAAAAACAAACGACTAAACTTGTTTATTCCAGGGTTAGGTAGATTAACCTGCTGATAGTTTGACGGGGGTGATTGCTAGGGGATGAAACACCCCTTAAATATATTTTTTTTTAAATCCAGAAACACGTCAATTTTATTTTGGTATTTTCTCATTACCAGTGTGATTTTTAAATCACTCGAGCTGATTTACTATATTACATGTCGTAAAACAGTACAAAAAATAGTGTATTTACTCCTATTAAAAAGAGGGTTGCAATCTTTCGGTATAAATGTTATGTCCTTAAAAGCACCTTTTTATAAGAAATTTTTTAACGTTGAGTTTACTGAAAAATATTCATTTGATGCTGAGAAATATTAAAAAAACTGATTTTAGGGGTTGATTTTCAGGGTGGATTTCACCCCTTAAAAGCCCTTATGGGCCGATAAAAAAAACACTTATCTAATTTTTTTCAAGTACTACAATATATCCCAAAATCATTCAAATGGGTGAGGTCGGGTTGGGGTGGTTCCCCTGTTAGAAAACATTTTTTATGTATTTAGCGCTTCAGCTTAGGATCAAAAACAATTTTTTTTTTAATTGAAATCGGAATTCCACAGTATTCTATGTGGAAAACGAAACATTTTCTCTTATATACGTTTTTTTTATCATTTGAATATACGAAGATACAAAAAGGCGAAGTAAAGGGTAAAATTTTAGGGAAACAGCTGATACCGGCGTAATATTTAATGAAAATAATTTTTTAATTAGTGATTTTAACAGTGTTTGGAAAGCGCTACAAAATGCCACGCTCCAAATTTTTTTATGATTTTTTCCAAAAGCTAGGTAGGGGATAACAGATGGACAAGAATTTTTAGAATTTTCAGCCTTAAATTACCTATCATTTAATAAAACTAGAAAAAAATTTGACTGTATTATCGATTTACACCATTTGTAATTTCTTAAAAAGATGTTTTAACTGCGCCTCCGCTCAGCTCTGTATGTTAATTTGCATTAAAGATGGACACTTTTAAAGTTTTAATACTTTTCCCTTGGGGTGGGGGTAAAAGTACGTGTATGTACCTTTCGGACGATTATCTACTTCTAGCACTGGACGTCAGCGCATTGTGAACAAACATATCATATGAATTAGTTTTAGGAGGTTTAAAGAAACGTATTTCAGACATAATATAAAATTCTGAATAATACCTATTCTATTTCTAATAATGCGTATTATAGGCAAATTTTTCTAAATTTAATGAGTTCGCCAATTTCTTTATTATTCGCAGATGTTGTTATTTCGAGCATCTCGAATAATAAAATTAACGCAGTATTATAGATACTATATTTATTAGTCATTTCTTGTTTTAAAGTTGCCAAAAAATAATAGCAACTTAAAGTTTACTTGATTTCCAAAAGCAACTGCAACTGATAACATTTTAAATTTCCATTTTAGTCATACAAAACAAAGAAGTTACTATTATTTCCAACTCAGTTGACAACGTTTCTACTAACAGATTTAATAAACAAATATGAACGAAAAGGTATGTTCAAACATAAGAAAAAAAATGGAAATTTGAAGAATTCTAATCATTTAAAAGAGTCGTTTATTACTATACTACATTATAATCAAGTCTAAAAATGTACAGCTATTCTGAAGGACCATTTCTACAATTTCATTATTGAATGAACCAGTACAAAAATCTTTCCTTAAATAAAACATTTAGGGAAAGATAAATGTATGCTATTATAGAGAACTGGTATCGTATATACGTTGCAACGCAAACAATGCTCAACGATTTATATTGGTATGGAACGAGACATACAGCTCGTCACCAATTATTTGGGGCGGGGAAGAGAGGCAATAGTGCTCTGAGCAATTGAGAGAGGTAAGAGAAAGGGAAATTAAAACAGTCAAGAACTCTAAAATACCAAATCTTATTCTATATACTCACAACAACAGAATCTACTGTATAGCAAAGTCCGATAATCAATCAGCTCGTTGCCTGGCGAGGTATCGCCGGGGCAACGCCGCGAATATCGGTACAGAGGATCGTCACAATAGTTGGCGGATGAACGCCTAACTATTGCGGCACCTTTAACGAGCGAGAGTGATCACCACGTCTGAGAGAGAACGAGAGAGAGAGAGAGAATCTAGAAGAGCACTTGACCTTTATCTACCACGGTTCCTCGATGAGCTAGAAGCGGTGGGCCACCTTCCTCACAGGCGCATCGTCGTCTTCTCTTGAGCGGCTTGTTCCTCGGCATGCTCCTCGTGGTTAGCTCTCCTCCGACGACCTCTGCCCTACTCCTCCTCGCACTCGCTTGGCCGATGGCATCCTTAATTGACTTGTTTCTAACAATGCTTGTTTCTTAACTCTCGAATCCTTCTTCATCACTCGACTCTTCCTTCTACCTGACTTTTTAAGTCCTCCTTCCTGAATCGATTATCTGCACCTAACTGTCGCTCAACTCTTTTTTCTGTTAACGCTCGACGCATCCCCTCTTGACCTAATTTCTCAGCGGCACGCGACGCCATTAATCGGTCGCGCGCTGGCCGCGAACCATTGTCCAATACCGACAGTTGTCCCTTATCTCTCTCTCTCTCTTTCTTCGTTCTCTATCCTTTATTTTTGTTGTCCCCCTCGCTGGCCCCACTCTCGGCTCGCTCAACATTATTGGCCGCTAAAAGAAAACAAACCGCAATAGGCGCACTCTAGAATACGCCCAACGTCGGTTGCTAGGCCACCCGAGAGCAGAGGAAGGGGAGGGAGCGGCGCACGACAAAACGTCGTTATCTGCTCCCGTTACAGGTGAAAGTAAAAGATCATGAGGGACGAGATTAAAGGAACGTCAAAAGAATATTGGAGTTCCAACTGTTACGCACATTATAAAAATACCTTATCTTATAACTTTGATTCGAATAATACTAGGATACTCTAATATGAAAGTAATTATTGGTTTATCAAGTAACAGCCTAAATATAAAGTATGATGTCTGAATATCAAGTAACAGCCTAAATATGAAATGATACACAATCTCTCAATCATTTATATAAACTACTATTGAGTTTTCTTAAAAGAGATTAGAGCTGAGCGATCAATGCAATTTTGTAGTGATTGTACTTACATGTAGATACTACATAAAAGAATGGATATGTAATTATCACTTTCAGTTTTCTGTTAATGAGAAACATTTTCTAGCGTACATATAGTTCGATCTTGGGCGGTGAGGTAAAACAAACGTATCTCTGATTTATTATTGTAATGATTTATGTAACAATTTGAGTAATTTCTGTTTTGGTTTTTATTTTAATAAAGTCTGATGAGACCAACTAAATTACTGATTAAACGTTGTTAACAAACAAGAGGGTAGTAATTTTCATTTACTTACCTACTTCTCCCTCATAGATCGACATATCTATTAAATTTATCTAAAATAAAATTTATGTAGAAAAGAATAATAATACATCATATAAATATCATCAATTTAAAGAGATAAAACTAGTGATTAAAATAAACCCTTATATAAGTTATTTAACTAGAAGTTGCTTGCATAAGACTGAAAGCAAGCAAAACATCATAATATGAAATAATTGAATAAAAAATATGAAACAAATATTTCCACACTGAATGTTTTATTGAATTTGATGGTTTTTTTTATTTTTGTACACTTAACACATAGTGATATTAAAAAACTGCCATAATATTTCATAATATACTATCAAATGTTCATACAACAACCAAAATGACGATGTTTGAATTAGTTTGAGTGAGAGACTATCTTAACAAAATTATTTATTGGTTTCAGTTAAACAGATAGAAACAATGTCGGACGACTCAAGAAAATCTACAATTTTAAGTAATTCATATAAACTTGTAGATCACAATAGAGAGAATAAAAAAGGTATTACAGCTTCTTCATTCAAAGAACTTATTTATATAGCACGAACCAGGTTCGAGATTCCTATACATATGCAAATGATGATAGTGCTGGAACAGGATGGTAAGTAGAAATTCGAAATATAGAACATAATTTAAATGAATAATGTCATCGACTTTCCATCAAACTCTATAGCCATATAAATTAGGGCACAACAATTTCATCCGTTTTCAGATGTTGTCTACGGCCCTAATCAAACTGAAATTAGTTATATTTTTTCATTATTTTACCTAAATCAAGTTATCACAAATTCTTAAACTATTACAAATTACGCATAACGTATCAAAGATTAAACAGCGTGACCATTAGATTTAGACATGCAATGGAGTATACAAAAACAACCACGAATATAAATCTATTATAATGCTAACTATGCATGTATATATTTGTAACTTTAAAACTAAATTCATCTTATTTAATAATAAAGTTCTATTTTAATCATGTAACGCTTACAAAGCTAAAGCTGTGAGTGTTACACATTTTACAGCACTCCCGAAACTAAACGGATAATTATCTCTGAAAAAATGTTCTATATTTATTTTTACGACTACTCATGCCCGAAAAATTGACATCACAAAGCTGCTACGTGATACAACGGTAACCAAGCGAGAAAGAGGAAAAGCAGACGATAATCAAAAAAAAAAAAGAAGCGCACACCGAAAATAAGGAACGTACACACACTAATACATACGAGGTTTGTCCTAAAAGTATCCGACCTACCTCGATTTCTCGGTGCTTGATTTAATCTTCGGAAGCCAGATGAAGGGGGAATCCTTCATTGTAGTTTCCATTTGATTGAATAATACGCTCATATTTATGTTTATACTTATTAAAGCACTCTTCAAAGTCAGACTTCGGAATCGCCTTTTGTTTCGTTGCATTAGTTTCAACAGCCTCTTTATCATCATATCGATATCCCTTAAGTGGTATTTTTAATCGAGGCAACATCAAAAAATTGCAGGTAATTATATCGGGACTGTATGAAGGCTGACGGAGATTACAATACTGTGTTTCAATACATACTGCTGCATATGGTTTGATGTGTGCGCTGAAGCATTGTCGTGATGATGAAGTAATTCACCTATTTCCCAAAGTTGCGGTCGTTTTCTTCTTATTGCTTCACTCAATCTTCAACGTAGTACTCTTTGTTGATTTCCTGACCTGTAGGATCATATTCATTGTGCACAATGTCATTATAATCGAAAAAACAATCAGCATTGACTTGATGTTGCTTCGACTTTGACGGACTTTTTTCGGACAAGGCTCGGATGGAATCTTCCACTGCGAAGATTATTGTTTTGCTTCAGGATCATAACTATAAACCCATGATTCATCACCAATAATAACCTTTTTAATAAAGTTTTCATCACCATTGATCATTTCCATGTTGTCCTGAGGGATTTTTAATCAAAAGTTTTTTTGCTGATTTGAGAGTAGTTTCGGGATGAATTTTGCATACACACGAGTCATTCCCCAATTTTTGGTTAAAATTCGCCAAACAGTTCTTATTAGTATTCCAACTTCATCATCCAGTTCTCTCACAGTCAAACGACGATCTTGTTCAAGTACGATACGCACACACTCGACATTATCTCACGATATGTCCGTTAAAAGTTAACCAGAACGAGGATTACTCAACAAATATGTGGCCCCTTTTGAACTGCCTATACCATTCATTTATTTGTGTTTTGTCCATACACTCATCTCTAAAGGCCTTTTGCAACATTTCAATAGATTTCGCACAAGTTTTACACAGATTACAGCAAAATGTTATGCAAATTCGCTATTCAGTTCCTTCTGCCATTTTTAGCAATAAACGAATTGTGGCGAATGAAAAAAAGTCGTCACTTCCGAAAGAATTCTAAACGAACTTAGTAAATCACTAATTGGCGAGGAATTGACTATGCAACAAAAAAGAATGCACAAATGGGAAAGGGCCGTGGTAGATGACTTAAAAACATTCCATACTGATCAATTCAAAATGCAAAATAATTTCAAAACAATTTCGGAAATAATAAATAATCTCAGTAATAAAGTGGATAGTTTGACAAATAAGATTATTAAGCAAGATGAAATAATTAAAAACTTAGAATCAAATTTTGAAAAATCAAATGAAATTAGTGCTATCTTAAAAGAAAGATGTGATGATAATTTCAATGATATTATTCGTGCAAAAAATAACGTTACTTTGGAATTCATTACTTCGCGAAAATATTGATAAACATAAAAATATGGATCAAAATAGATCTATTGTAAATGAAACAATAATTGAAACGATTAAGCAACCTGCTTTAACGTGTCCACTTTTCGATGAAAGATATAAATATCGTCCGGTGAAATATCTAAATGGTCTCAAACGTTATTTACAGGCGAGTAATTATAATACCACTTAGCTATTATGTTTGCTATCTCAATCTATGACAGAAGTAAATTCTTGGTGGTACGACTTAGTACAGCGCGAGATAAAAAATTATGGAGATTTTGAGATATTATTCAAAGAGAAATTTTAGAACGCGGAAATACGTTGAAATATTACTCGTGAAGTAGAGTTCGGTAAATATTTTGGTGGAAAATGAACTCTAAAAATAAACGTCTAATGAAGGCGTCGATGGGCTTTCGTCCTTTGGTAGTCCGGATGCTGTAATTGAGAGACAAGAGAAGAAACAAGAATGATCCTGATAGGTAACAACTCGCGCGAGGCGAGTTTGTCCCGTACGAAGGCCTTTTTAACAGCCGAGCGGCCTTAGACTCGGGCGGCAGTCAGGCTTTCGGGCACCCTGGCCCGTTCGCGCGTCAATAATGAAATCCCTGTTAATTATAATCCGACACTCGATATCGCAATTGTAAAATAAATAATTGAACGTTTATAACGTTTTTCTCTTGTTTATTAAAAGGGAAAATGTAATAGCGATTTTCTTTAATATAATGGGGAAGCATATCGATACACTTATAGGCGTTTATATTTATAATATTTATTCTAGTCTCTTTCACTATAACGAACGGCATGTAAGTTCGTTATGTCTCTCTCTCCCCAGGAAGCCATCAAATAATAATTATCTATAATAATTAATTATCATGTAAACATTTTTAAATAATTGCAGCGTGGACGTCAGCGAACCGGTAAGTGACGCGATTATAGTTCGATTATCGATATCGACTCGCGGCGCGAACCTCGCGGAGAGGCGAGCCCTTCGAGGAGAGAGAGAGAGTAGGGACAAAAAGTAAGTCTGCTTCCGACCGGCAACGAGAAAGTAACCGGCAACGCGAGCTCGCTAATTACTCGAGAGAGCAATCAGGTTTGATAGCCACACACGTGACAACCATCGACGCTGTTCCCGAAAAGCCCAGCGAACACTCGGTGATAGAAGCAGAGAGAAAAAGCGTAAACGCAAGAAGCGATAACGCGATTAACAAATCCTTTGCAAGCGAGCGCGCCGTGAACTACTTGCGAATCTACTGTAGAACGACTCGTCAGTTCCAGCATTGTAAGTACCAGTCTGTTAACTTGGCTTCTCTCTCTATGGCTCTCTCCTCCTGCGTTGCTTAAATTGCGTATCCTTGTCGATACCTTACCGCATAGTTGCTTATTTCTTTTCTGTTTTCGTTCGGCCTACGAACAGGCTTCCGTTATACGCGTATTGTCGCTTCGTCCGATTTACAACGAGCAAGTGCGGTTGCCGTTTTCGTCTAAGTCGAGTGACCGAGACATTTCGACTGGCTAAAGAGCCGACACGAGTAAGCGATGTAGGTTTCTCGTTCGAACGGTGCGCGCCGGCTAGCCGTCGCCATTGTGCCTAACCGCTCTTACAGGGCGTGCGCGGGCAAGTTCCTCGCTGCGTAGCGTGTGCGCGGCTCGTCGGCTGCACTGAAATCTGACGCGAGGCTATCCACGCTGCTATTTGTACTGCGCGCGAACTACGCTATTCTATGCTTGTGTTATGAATAAATGAATTCAATTCACTCCTTTGCTATGTGTCATTTTCCCTCGATTCCTAGTCGTATATGCGATTATGCACTTTAGCTTCTCCTTGGCTGTCGCGCCTTGTCATACGAAAGCTTACGACACTCTCTGCGGGCCAAGTTTTCGACTCGAGAAGGAGGCAACTGAGCTGCTGGACCCAGGACGTTCGGTGCAGGAGTGCCGATCTGCTCTGGAGAGCCATTCATCTACTTTTCCGCGGTTACTTTTATATAGCGTGTCCCGCTCGAGCGAAGCTGAGCAGGAACCCCGTTATATCACAACATAAATAAGTTAAGCAGAATAGAGATATATATATATATAAATTCTCAGACGCGTAATTTTCGCCTCGCGATGTCTATTATTTTTTGGTTACATAAAAAGTGTTACTCACTTTGTATTAATATTGTAAATATAAATTGGTCCGAAATATTATTTGCTTCGTGATGTGGCCAATCACTTTTACTTTGAATCTGATCAGATTAACTGGTCCAATATATTTTTTATCCAATAGTGTAACAACACGCAAGAAAATGATAATTCCTATGATTTTCGTTTACATAAAATTATTAAAACAATTGTACTCGACACTTCTAATACTTAATTGTAACTCGAACAATTATATTCTCAAACTCTTATTATGGATTTAACTTCAGTAGGAAAAATGCAGGCTTCTTAGTTGAGCGCTCACTCCTAACTGGCTAAAAGATCCCGTCGTTGTTTTCGCCGGTTCATTATATATCTTTTGTCCCTCGTATTCCGTTTCTCTCTCGCACATATGCTTTAAACGTTTACGTTTCTCGCGTCGGCTCGTCTTACCTAGCTAAGCTCGCTGACCGAAGCATGCTGTCACAGCATGCTGCCGCAGCGCGAATCACCCTTTGCCGCTCATTCCCAGCGAGTCGCGCACACGAATATTGCTAGTTATATTATGTCCGGACGGAAATTGCGAGAGCGAAATATTATTTGACAAAATACAATTATAACACAATGAAACGTCATGTAACATCCCTCCCCCCTTAGAATCGTTGCCGTCCTCGGCAACGTTTTGGGTCTAACTAGGGTAGAACAAGAAGAAAGTAATAATATACATAATAATGATAAA